CATGAAAAGTCAACTTCTAGAAATCATAAATGACTAATCGAGCTCTAAACAAACGCTGAAGTTTTCACATTGATAGGTGATACTTTTGTATAGCATAGTAGAAACTCCATGGAAATACCCAACTTGAGTGTTGATAATTGAATATTGACGCTTGACGACCCTATTTTTTCTCAATTGGACACTCACCTTTTGGAAGTTTTCCTAGTGAACACGACCGTATAAATGAGTCAATGAAGACATCGAAACTTCATGAATCACCACCAAATCTATATGGTTTTGCTATCGATTCTAGGGGTACCTACGGCATTATTGGCTTGGATTTGTCATTTGGGCTGTGGCAAGGATGCCGTAATAGGACCTGCGGCAATTTGGACAACAATATTTGGTATAGCAGGTCCATCGATTGGAGATTATCGGCTGCACGAGCATGCATGATCCTAGCCTGTATCATTACACCTATCGCAGTCGGATGTCTTATATTTGTTGTCATCAAGAATAAGTTCGAACGACTAGTTCTCAATATTAGTAAAGGCTTGTCTGGCTTATCATTTCTGCTCGGCTTCATCGGCATGGCATCGGGTATTAATTATTTCACCAGTGGAATTCGCATAACACTGAGTGAAGATGACTTAAAACTGGCTGGAGCTGACTTAGCATTGGGCGCAGGTGCTCGAAATAGCATAGTTGGCGTCATTTTGAATTTTGTAAGTACGATCATCGCTGGTATTATACAACCGAAGTAAAGAAATATGATGGAACAAGTGACATACCTTATTCAAAGATATATTACTTCCATTTCAAATTATAGCTAGAAAAAAACTAAAAGATTTTGTCAATGTAATTTGTTTTGCTCTAATTTTTTTTTCAAATCTCCTCACATGCTGATAGTTTCTCCGTGAATTAACTTTGTAAATTCTATTCTTTTCCTTTATAAAAAATCATAGAGCACTCCATGATATTGAATGAAAATCATGTATGTGATCATTAAAACGTAAAATGAGAAAAAAATCTGGTATTTGCAATACTATCAACTGGAACAAAGAGAGTTCTATTAATGAGTAATTTTGATTTTTACGACACATCATATGGTATTGTAGGATCAAATAGAGGAGATCAAGCATGCTACTAGCAAGAATACGTTGTGTTTGATTGTTTGATAGCGATACAGTTGTTTTCATTTCACTTTTTGACAAAAAAAATACTCAACTATTTACCGATGAAGCATCGTAATTGTTGCGTGTCTATGAGGGTGTGGGTGTGGATGTGGGTGTGGGTGTGGGTAGGTGTGGGTGTGTGGGTATGAGTGTGGGTGTTGGTGTGGGTGGGTGTGGGTGTGGGTGGGTGTGGGTGTGCGTGTGGGTGTGGGTGTGTGTGGGTGTGGGTGTGGGTGTGTGGGTCTGTGGATCTGTGGATCTGAATGTTTAGTGTTCTGCAACCAGCACCCACACCTACCCAGCCACACCCACACCCACACCCACCCACACCCACACCCACACCCCACACCCACACCCTCCAGCCACCTCACACCCCACCCACACCCCACACCTACCCACCCACACCCGCACTTTTCTCATGGAAGAAATGATTTTTTCATTTTTCGATTGCATTTTTTCTACAGATATCTTCGTTATTCCTATTCATTTTCATTTTTCCGCTGTAGTAGAATCTATATGGCTATTCGGATATCTAACATATTTCTCATAGAAGATATCATTTTGTCACTTTTCCATTTCACTGTTTCTATGGACATTTGGATTATTCCTATGGAATTGCTTTTTTCCGCTCAAATAGTATCTGTGTATGTGTTGAAGCATCTTACGGCTGACCATTTTTGATTGGAGCGACATTTTTCCGCTGGAAGTAAGCATTTATGTCACCGATCAATTCAATGGCCAACCCTCGTTCAGTGGAGCACTGCTTGATAGTCTACTCATGAGAAGCTAGGTTCTTTCACGTTGCTTAAGTAAGAATGCAAGATTACTAGTTCTATGAAACAGATCGCGACCGACTTTAACAACTTCTGCTATGCAATGCACAAAAAAAAAATGAATGCGATCTTTTTTATCTTGGCATACTATGCGTTTATACTATGCAACAATAGACTTGCTTTTGAAAAATAAATGATAGTTCAAAAGTGTTCGGTTATTGAGTTAGATTCTTCATCAAATAAAGATTTGTAATACTTATTTGTAATTTTTCAAAATATTCAAGTTATCCGATGAGACATCAGCAAGATTGAAATAATTATCATGGGAATCATCTCTTGCTCCATCCTCATGAAATCAGCTTTTCTGGACGATCTCTCACGTCCAGGAATGCTCATGTTAGCTGACATCTGTATGTGATACAAATAAGGGAAACAAATGAACATTACTTTGTCACATTCTATTGATCAAACAATGAGCTCATACAGTGGCCGAATCAAATAGCGTCGGAGCATGACTTTCATGGAGTTGAAATCGACCTATCTCGTGTTTCATGATGCAAAACACCTTCCAGTTAACTTGAAATGTTAATAGTAGAGTGTGGACCGATGTGCGTATGAGTCTAGGTGTGAGACCGACGATGTGTGAATGTGAAATTGCCTGTGGGTGAGGGTTGATGAAGAACAAGACCAAACCCATATCCACCTACACCCGCATCCACAACCACATCCACTCCCTATGATAGTAAAAAAATGTTCAGTTCCTCAGATTCTAAGCTGCAGAAGTTGAAAACCTCGGAATCGGAGTCGGGCTTCGAAGTGAAAAATCTCTTGCCTCTGCAAAGCTCAAACCTTCGCCCTCACACCCACATCAAAATCCACACTTTAGTACTTTCACATAATTCAAAGTGCTTCGGTGTACTTGAAATTACTTCTACATACTTTGAGCTACTTCCAGATACTTTGAACTACTTTCGTACTTTGATGTACTTTTCGACTTGAAGTATGCAGTTACTTCTAGTTAACGATACTCTCGTATTTTATGCAATTACAGTTTCACATTAATACTTCCTTAGCACACTGCATATTGGAAAACGTTGATTACATAGCCTGTTGAGGGAAACAAATACATGAAAATTTACTGTGCATGCTGTATTCCATTAATAAGTTTTATGAACACAATGGAAGGCTAGAGCGTCGTCAAATTGCAATTTTAATAAAAATGAAGCTGTATATTTAGTGCTCTTTGCTAGTAAAACACGTTCTGTACACATCAAGCGGTAAAAAATAAAGATAGTTGACAACTAATTACCAATTAGAGTAATATTCGTGCAATAATCACGAAACAAGATGCCCATTCAAGAGCAAGCAACACAAACAAATCATCACCGTCACCAATACCACAGAAATAAGGGCTTAACGATGAAGGACGCTGCCCAATTCGTTTCTTCGTTAATTATTCCCCTTGCGTTAGGCATATTCACTGTTGTCACCACTTTCCACCAACAAAAAATGGCTCGAGAACAAAGGCTTGAAGATCTGAAAGAATCGAGGAGTCAACGTCAGCAAGATCTGATCGAATCTAGGGATCAACGTCAACAAGAAGAAAACAATCAGCGGCATTTGGCAACTGATCGGTATCGAAACGAGTTACTTATAGATTATATTAATCAAATGAGTCAACTGTTAGAGAAGAACAATGGATCACTCACATCTGATGAAGTTACAGTTACTGTTGCTCGAGTCAAAACTCTGATTGTCATTCGTCAACTTGATGCACAACGTAATATTCAAGTTATTCGATTTCTCTACGAAGCCAAACAACTTACTGAAATACATGAAAATCGCTCATTGGATCTTTCAACAGCAAAACTTCTTGATATTGATTTTCGTGATTCAGCAGTAAATGGAAAGCAATTGAAACAACTATCATTGGCTGGCATGTTTCTATCAAATGCTACATTCATAGGCATTGAAATGGAGCACGTCAACTTCACTAATACTCAGTTTGAAGCGGTTAACTTTTCATGTGGTATACTCCGCAATGTCAGTTTTTCATCTGCTAGCTTTGATAATGCTAACTTTTCATCCGCTTTCCTTTTCAATACTACTTTTTCATACACTCGGTTGAAAAATGTTAATTTTTCATCCACTCAACTCGATACTGTTAACTTTTCATTGGCCGAACTTGACAATATCAACTTTTCGTCTATCCGACTTGAAAATATCGACTTTACGTTCGCTACACTCAAGAACATCGATTTTTCATCCACCAAACTAAAACATGTCAGCTTTTTGAACTCTTCGCTCTTCAATTGCAACTTTTCATTTTCTCTCTTGTCCAATATTAACTTCTCGTTCGCTCGGCTCGATAGTGTCAAATTTTTATCGACTAACCTCTACAATATTGACTTTTTCAAGGCTTCGTTCTTCAATACCAATCTATCATTAGCTCGACTTGATAGTGCTGAATTTTCGTCGGCACAGTTCTACGGCGTAAACTTTTCATTAGCTTTCCTTTTTGATGTCAAATTCTTATCTGCTCTGCTCGACGATGTCAAATTTGTATCAGCTGAGCTCTATAAAGTTAGCTTTTCATCTGCTGTGTTCAGTTATACTGATTTTTCATCCGCTACTGTAGGTAATATTCACAATAGTTTTGCTCTTTTTTTCATAATAATCTATTTTTCGATTGAACTTTTAGCTTCAGCCGATTTCAGGAATGCGAGAATGTCTCACACAAGCTTTGAACAAACTACTTCTATTGCAGCCAATTTCACTTCTGCTAATTTATTCTACTCTAAGTTCATGAGCTCCAATGTTAAGCGAGCTATCTTCAAGGGAGCTGGCTTGATCGAAGTTAATTTTTCCCGTGCTAATTTGTACAAAGCTGATTTTACTGGTACTAATATTTTAGAGAGTCAACTGCAAAGTGCTCTCTCTATTCAAGATGTTTTATTACCCAATGGAAGACTTGATCATACTATGAACTTGATCAAAAATGGCCAAGCTGATTGCAACATTTCTCTTGTCAACCATTGGATATTACAAACTGGCAATGTCACTACGATGACGTCTGACAAGAATGATACTAACTGCCACTTCGTTTTGCAATCATATAATACGGGAGCTACTATGTTACAACGTGTCAATTTATCAGATCAGTGGGACTCGAAATCTTGGCCATATTCCCAAGCCGTATTGAGTGCAAGTATGAGCATCGGTATATCCATCCAACTGAAAGGAATCAGCAACATCGGACACATTCGTGCTCAGCAAAAATTAAGTAAGTTTCAGTATACTAACACCAACTACGGCACACATTTTGTATACAGATTCAACTAAAGAGAATATCAGTCTGGCTTTGGATGATAATATGCGAGAACTCGAAGTGTTTATCGAGTTTAGTGCGCTTGACAAGCACAGCAATCAGACAAACTACTGGTGTGATGACATCAAGCTCTTCATCATCTATGGTACATATTTGGAATTTTTACGAGGTAAGCATGTTTATAGGCATTATCTGAGAAGGACTCAGAATCTGTAGGCGTAAGGCTGTTGAATACTTCAAGTTAAAGTGTTTTGTTGACGAGAAAAAAATTCTTGATTTCATGAGAACTCGATACTTTCTTCGAGACACTTTTTAAGTGGACAAAGCCATTCCTAGCTCTTTACGTTCTATCTCCGTAATCATTACTAAGTTGGAGTTTTTGTGAAGGACTATTGTTTGTGAGTGTTGAATAATATAGCGCGAAATGTGAACCCGAACGACCAATCTGCCGCATAGACTGTGGTAAATATGGTGTTATGGCATTCTGATTGCACCACGGACTATGATGGGCATTTCAAAATGCTACTTCCTCAGCTCTATCGCAAACTCTGAAATAGTGTGTCGGGAATCTTGTTTACTATAGTCCGATCAATCAAAAGTCCGAGTTGAAATTTGAATTTTTTTTAATATTCATTTTATTTTATGATAATGTGTTCTCTTGTTTTTAATATACTATAGACTGATATGGATTGGTCATATCTCTACCATTATAATCCACTACTCTCTAAAAAAAAAGGAGTTTTGCAGAACCCCCCGAAAAGGTTCTGTAGATTTCTAAAAGCATCCAAATGTGTCCAAAGCCTCAAAAACGGCGTAAAAAATTCGACAGAAACTTTTGGAGGTTCTGTGGAGTAGAGTCAATGTTGGTAAAGCGAACGCTTTTTGAGGGTGCATCTGTTCTCTCTCGTATATCTCTGTTATTTTAAGGAGTAAAATTTTTCTTTTTATGTAGTTGGGAAGAGAAATGATTTCTCTATCTACTCATATGAAAAAAAAGATTCTAAGTGCCCTAATGATTGAGTAACTAGCGGTATGCGATGACACATCTAAAACGTTCGCTTTATCCGTCATGTTGGCAAAGCGAACGCTAAGCAAAAAATTTGTTGGTAAAGCGAACACTCCAGCGCAGAACAAGCGAAAATGTCATTAATTAGCGAATTTAAGCATTCCTGCTTGAAAATTTCAATATTTCTTTTTTTTAATGACATGATTCGATTCCTCTCCTTGAACTCTATCTAATTCCAGCGGTTCAGCTCAATCGAATGTATTTTCGATTTTTTATTGATTTTTTAAAAATATACTAGGTGTTCGCTTTATCTGTATGTCAGATAAAGCGAACGTTCAGCAAGAAAATGTTGGTAAAGCGAACGCCCTAGCCATTTTTGTTAGAGATCATCTACTTGAGAATATTTTTATCATTTTCGCTTCTCAGAAGCAAAATTTACCATGATAACATTCGACAATTCTTTTTAGAACGCTTAGATCTACTACTTGCCAGCGGTTCAAGCAAAACTAATGAGTATTTTTTTTGTGCGTTGCTCTCTCTTTGATCTATCGTCCTTCAAAGAAAACAACGCTGAAAAGGGCGATTTTCAGTATATAATTGTTTACTATGATTCCTACGATATAGGAAACACTATAAGAGAGGCTGCAATGGACGTTGCTCCTCTAGTGACTTCTATATATCTAATGAGTAAGTTAGATAAAACTTTTTGTTTTGAATGGAGCTACTATTATTGGTTTTAGCTTTTCTGCTAATCATGTAACATCATCTGGTTTTCCTCGTCCGACAACAATCGAACAGGCTATTCAACTTATCGATTCAGTACTCTCAAACAATGACACCAAGAGTGCCGATAATAATAAGTATGTGCAATAAATTCTGCCTTTTCGGAAGAAACAACTATGTGTTAATGAACATGCATAAGTTAATTTGATTTCTATCTCGTGTAAGCTTTATGAAAGTGATTATTTTTTTCAGCACAATTCTCATGGTACCTTTCCTTAATTCAAATATAAGCGATAGCTAAGATATACTCATGTCCATTTTAAATCACTTAACTTGCCATTTTCTTTAAAAACCATCTCGATCTCAATGCTCGTATAACAAGAAATACTCATACTATCTTTTCTTTCTATTTAGTGCTTCAACACAATTACAAGTATTGAACGATGCAGCTTCTTTAAATACATAAATAACTGTTCCACCAGCAATTATATCGAATTTTTCTAACACATCCACGTAAGTTTCTTTTTCTGAAACCGTAATAATCACAATGTGACATATAGTGAGTCTATCTCATTGCAAACAATGCCTACTTCCAGTGGATTCTTTCTTGATCAATCTTCCTTACATCGTCTTGATTTGGATCTTTTCAACAATGAAAATAAGTGAGTAATATTTTCTGTTAAACAAAACAAATAATCTTTTCTTCTACTTTTAGAATGGATGTTTTACAGTCTATGGAATATAATCTTGAACCTCATCTTACGTTTTCTTATTCCCCATCTCATGGCACAAATAATTTATTTTTTAATGGTGAATGTTATTGCTACTAACGTCTATGCATATATATATATACAGGGTGGCCCAAAAGTCATGTTACCCAAAAAAAATTGAATATCTCCATTAGGGCTTGAGCAAATGAGCTGATTTTTTTGTCAATGATAGAGGTATGTTTAAGGTTTATATCCATAAAGACAAGCCTAGATAGACCGTTCGTTAAGTATCACCAGTGATCTCAACAAAAAAATTT